AAAACGGAGCCCGTGCAGCAGTGGGGGAAGATGTGGGAAAATCGTTTCAATAAAATAGCGTGTGATCCTTAAATCGGTGAATAATTCTAGTTTGGTAGCAAGTAGTGCTCAGAGATGTCAGAGATGAACGCACTCTAATACCAGTGATACCTCCCCGCACCAGGGGCTGTTGCCCTGTGCCAGCTCCTGCTCAGTCCCTGTATTTACCTATGCCATGTACTGGCAGATGCCTCAGCTTTGAGAACAACAACAGTGTTTGCGTCTGAACAAAGATGATAGGTGCATCTTGACCTGGCCACACAGCTGAGATACTCTCAGAAGAGATTCATTAGAAGATGCAGGAGCATAAGAGGAAAATCTGGGGAATGAGATGTTCCCCAGACAATCACCAGGAACCCTCAAAAGAACCCCCCAAACAAGTCCTGGGAAGTATTTAGCATATATTTACTTGGGGGATTAAGGCGTTTGTGTAAGTTTCATGAACATAACCTGTTGTGTTTGGCTGCTGTGCCTGTGCCAGGGAGATCCCCCTGTCCCTGTTGGATTTCTCAGCTGCCAGACTCCCTGCAGAGCCCATTCCCTGCCCTCGGAGCCCATTCCCTCCCTGCAGAGCCCATTCCCTGCCCTCAGAGCCCATTCCCTCCCTGCAGAGCTCACTCCCTGCCTTTGGTGCCCTTTGTGTGTCACAGACATCCGTGAGCTGATAGAAGTGGACGATGTCATGGAAGACGAGTCCCTGAGGTTTGGCCCCAATGGTGGCTTGGTGTTTTGCATGGAATACTTTGCCAATAACTTCAGCTGGCTGGAGGAGAGCCTCGGGCACGTGGAGGATGACTATGTTTTGTTTGATTGCCCAGGTAAGCACAGGGCAATGTTTTGGTATCACTCTTCGTAAGCATTGGAAAATTTGCGTGTAGACTGTTGTGACGATTCCCATTTTGTTGAGCTGTTAACAGTTGTCAGAGTCACTGTCAGGTGTCTCAGGAGTGAACTTGGTCCTGGGCTGATCTGGGTGGCTGCACAGATGTTTGGTGGCAACTGCAAACTAACACTCACTGGAGATCAAAGGAAGAAAAAAAACCCTTTTATTTCTTTTCCATTTCACCCAAACACAGAGCTGCCTGAAAAGAGGGTGCTTTCCTCACCAGTTTTTATTTAAATGCAGTTCCCCTGTCTACATATAACTGTGGACTGTTCCTTTTTGCTTCCCATTCCAACCTGTTAACATGCTGAGTGTGCCCCAGGTCAGATTGAGCTCTACACACACCTGCCAGTGATGAAGCAGTTGGTGGAGCAGCTGCAGCAGTGGGAATTCCGTGTCTGTGGCGTTTTCCTCGTGGATTCTCAGTTCATGGTGGAATCTTTCAAGGTATCCATTTGAAATCTGTTGATAAAGTTCATTTTCATAAGGAACAACAAGTCTGAGCCATTCAGGGAGCTGGGTTTGCCCAGAGGAAAAAATGGCCAGGTCCAGGGAGATGTGGTTGCTGTCATCAGCTGCCTCAGGCACAGGACAGGCCCAGATGGATGGACAGACAGCACTGTGAGAGTGCTCAGACTGGGACAGGCATTCACAGAATCAAAACTTGACTGGGCAAACCCCAGAGCAGCCCAGTCTGACCTGGAAGTGCTTCTGTTTGAGCAGTTGTAGGAGCCAGGTAACCTCCAGAAGTCCCTTCCAACCTAAATTCTTCTGTGATTCCATGAGAGCTTTCTCAGATCCCAAGAACAAGCAGGCCAACTTCCCCATTTAGCAGTAACTGTCCCAAGAAGGATTTGGGTTTTCTTAATGACCTTTTCAGTGGCAGATCCATATTTGAGGCTCCAAAAATTGAGGGGGTACTTGGCATCTTCTTTTTCCCACAGAGAATGATTCCTCACATGGCTTTGTGTCCATGTTCCATATATTCCTGACCAGATTTGGCCTGTGCTTGTCCTGCATGTTTGTGTTGTGCTTTTCTGTACTTTAATACATCATTTTTCATCCTCTTCAAGTTTATTTCTGGAATCCTGGCAGCTCTCAGTGCAATGATCTCTTTGGAGATCCCACAGATTAACGTCATGACCAAAATGGATTTGCTAAGCAAGAAAGCCAAGAAGGAAATAGAAAAGTAAGTTCCAAAAAAATAATTACTCTGTAGTACAATATACTGAGGCAAAGTTCACTGAAAGTTGAGTCTAATGTTTCCCACAATTAAAACATACTCTTTTGGAGTGGGAGAAGATGGATTTTGTTTATTTCAAACAATAATCTTTAAACATCTGGGTAAGATGTTTAGTTTAGTCAGAGTCAAAAGAATAGCTCCATGTTTGTACTGATCTCAGGATTTTTCTGTAAATAACTTATCTTGGATCTTTTGTGTCATTCTGAATGACAGACTTTCAGTGGTGATGATGACTTTGTTTCTCCAGGTACTTGGATCCAGATATGTATTCTATGATTGAAGATTCTACAAATATACTGAAAAGCAAAAGGTTTAAAAAACTGACCAAATCTATATGTGGATTGGTAAGTATATTGCTTTTGAGCTGGTACCCTAAAATTCACTATCACTTTTTGCCTCTGTTAACTCAGTTTTTTAGTTCTTCAGATTAGCATGAGATTCTTGATATCTGGATCATAGCCAATACATTTTCTTTGAATTCTTTTCTGTTGGCAATTTTGGGAATTTGCTGCTGTGTAGAGCTCAGGTGTTGTGAGGAGGGAATTGCCATTGGTTTGCAATGTGACTAAATGGTATTTTAGAAGTCAGGAAAAGAGTGGCTTTGAGTGCTGTGATTGAGAGTGAACTTTGTGCATTTCCCTGCATTTCCCTTGAATCCTTGTGCAGATTGATGACTATGGCATGGTTCGGTTCCTGCCTTTGGATCGCTCTGACGAGGAGAGCATCAACATCGTCCTGCAGCACATCGACTTCACCATTCAGTACGGAGAGGATCTGGAATTTAAAGAACCAAAGGTAAGGGATTGTTGGTGAGAAGATGAAAAATTAAAAAGTAGCCATAATAGAAGTTGTGCTATAAATATGTTCTTTGCCTTGCTAATAAATTATTGTCTTAGCACAGTGCCAAGTAAGCCATGTTTAGTCTTTCAGTGACAATGCTTGTATCATCTTCATTTAGTTATAAAAATGAAATTCTTTAATATCATCTTGCATATGCAAGTTGATCAAATGGTTGTTTAAAAGTATTGCTTTGATTTTCAAAATTAACAGAGTTTTAACCTTCAAATGCCAGAAAGGACCACTGAGATCACTTAGATGTTTTCCTGCATGACTGTTCAAAGTCTCCTAATGATTCCTGTGTTCATCCCAGGAAGGTTTATATTTTTCTGTGGTTTTTTTTACAGGAATGTGAAGAAGATAAATCTCCTCTTGTGGATGAATACTTTCAAGATCATGTGGATGAGTAAGAAACACGTTCAAACTGGGAGGAAAATATTTTGTTTTTAGTAAAAAATAAAAATAAAAAAACCCCAACCCCTACACAAACACATTTGATACTTTATCTGTAAAATAACTAATATTTATAATGGAGAGTGAGTTACATGACCTTGTAACTACTTTAATAAACAATTTTTTTTATTATGCTTGTGTGTGTTATAAAATATATAGAACAGTGTTAGTATGTATAAAAACGCAGAGCCAGAACTGGGCAAGAGGTTCAACAGACCTGCAAATTCTGCATATCTAGAGGAAAGGGCTCAGAAAAGTCTTGATCTGGCTGAAAGTTGGGGAAACCACCATGGTTTAATTCACCTCCAGACTGCCTTGGGATGAGCCATGCTCGGGGCATGTTGAAAGGATAAACCCCAGCCTTGCAGTTGAGTTATTGTGACTCAGTTTCCAAACCTCCCCATTTTGTCTCCTTGACTCAAGCCGGCAGTCAGATACCACGGGACAATTTCAGCAACGCTGGGTGTCAGGGAAGGTAATGGTTTGACAGCAAGTGGAATGTGCACCTTAAAATGCTGTATCCGTCTGGACACAGCACGTTTGGAGCCCTCTTGTGTTCCTTACACGGAGTGCCCCGAGCCGCCGGCTGGGCTGGGCTGGGCTGGAAAGGCACGGGAGAGAAACAGCTGGGAGCGAAGCATCAC